CCCGCGGGTATCTGCGGGTAAAACCCGTTACGGATAATAAATGGATAGGCTAATTGGGTACCCGCAGATAATGAGGATGGATAATTTTTTACCCATTTATAAACGGGGCGGGGGTGGGTATGATGATATCCATACCCGCGGGTACCCGTTTAATAATATTTCTTAAATATCCTAATTATCCTTGTACCACATAATCCTAAAACTATACTCTCTTATCTTATTTTCTTACAAAAGTGATGTTGATGAAGTTACCAACATGTGTTAAGCATGTTATAGAATTATGTTGGATGTAATTTGATTGATTTTCTAGCTTTGATTGGACTAATAAAATTTGTATTGTAAGTTATTTACTTTCATTTAAAATTATGAGATTGAATTATTGTAGCTTTGTGATGAGACTTTAACTTACTTGTGAGATTAATGTATATTTTTATTAATTATCTTGAATTTTTATTATTATTTCAACAAAATTAATGTTAAATACAAGTTCATAATTAACAATGAATTTTTATTTTTTAATATTTTAATGATATTAAATATAAACTTAAAGTTTAATAATATAATAATAATAATAAAATAAAATAAAAGTTGGGTGTTACAGTTGTTTAGGCTGGTTTTTCTTTATCCTGCAATACTGTTTATTGTGGTCATTTTTATTACAAAAATTACAGTGAAAAAGAGGCTTATCTTTAAGCCAACAATCTTTTTCAGCATGGTTGGTTCTTTGGCAATGAGAACAAGGAAAAATATTTCTTTTTGTCGAAGAACCTTCAACTTTTACTTTATTGTTATTAAAAGTTAATGACTTTCCAAAATTCCTTCCATTATTCTTTGCTCAAAAGGCACCTTCAACAACTTCATCATTTCTAGTTGAGACTCTTTGATTTTGTGCGTAAAGCTTGCTGGTCAAGTCAATAATTGTAAGAGTTTGCAAATTACAAGACTCTTTAATTGCAAAAAATCTTGGCTTCAAATCTTTCGGGCACTAAAATCATGATTTTTTTAAAACCTTTTGTAAATAATGTTTCACCAATAAGTCACATTTGGCTCACAATATCCATTAACTTGTCAAAATAATTTTTGACAAATTCATTATCCTTCATCTTCATTAATTCAAATTCTCTCTTCAAAGTGAAAAGCTTAACAGTATGAGTCTCTCTCCTAACGCTCGACGTCACAAAGGCATGCTCGATGTTATATAAAAAATTTGCACATGCAGATCAAAAAAATTGCTTAAAACGCTTGAAACTCAAAAGCTCCAAAACATGCAAAATATCCGACACAAAATAAATATCACATATATCTTGAAATCAATCTAAAACAACACATGCAACCCCAAATTGGTAACAATCATTCAAAATCTCTTCCATGGTTTAAAATGCCAAAACTCTCATTCCTTCACCATTCAATTCCAATTCAGCCACTTATATGCCCTCATTTAATGAAACAATATCAAACAACTCAACAAATCAAGAAACCATTCCATCCTAGCTTACTTTACCTCCGAACTCTAGCCACTTGAATGAAGAAAAGAGGGAGAAGAAAGAAGAAGCAACTCCAATCCTCAACTATCACTCTGAGGATCAAGGAACCTTTCACACCTATGGGAAATATAGAAGGAAGAAGATAGAAACCTTCAAAGTATATCTCTTTTATTTCTCTCTCTAAGGTTTGAAGATTAAGCTTATAAAAATTAACTCAAAACAAAACCTTATATACATTTCCACCTAGGGTCAACTAAACCTTCATCCAGAGACCCTTACAACTCATCAAACTCACCTAGGTACAATGTTACAATTCCCCCAACAAATAAGAAATTTTGTTAAAAAATAGACTTACTTGGGAAGAATAATGGATAATGAGCCTTTTTGGTGCAAGGATGTCTACTTTCACCAATTCACTTGCAAATTCCAATGTTCAATAGAGAAAATTATTGTATTTGGACCACCAACATGAAATTTGTTTTAAGTTCTCAAAGTTAATGGAATGTTCTAATTTATAGACTTAGATCCACCGCCATTAAGAGAAAACCTAACCATTGTACAAATCAAAACTTATGAGGAGGAAAAACTGACGAATGATAAACCCAACACTTGTCTACATGCAGGACTTGTAGATCATATTTTTACTAAAATCATGGACATGGAAACACCTAAACGGGTAGGAAAAGAATTAAGATGAATTTGAAGGGCAAGTAGAGTCAAATCTGTTATACTTTTCACTTTGAAGAGAGAATTTGAATTAATGAAGGTGAAGAATAATGCATTTGTCAAAAATTATTTTGACAGGTTAATGGATGTTATGAATCAAATGTGACTTATTGGTGAAACATTATTTACAAAAGGTTGTAAAAAAATCATGATTTTAGTGCCCAAAAGATTTGAAGCCAAGATATTTTGCAATTAAAAAGTCTTGTAATTTGCAAACTCTCACAATTATTGATAATTCACCAGCAAGCTTTACGCACAAAAACAAAGAGTCTCAACTAGAAATGATGAAGTTGTTGAAGGTGCCATTCGAGTAAAGAATAATGGAAGGAATTTTGGAAAGTCATTAACTTTTAATAACAATAAAGGAAAAGTTGAAGGTTCTTCGAGAAAAAGAAATATTTTTTCTTGTTCTCATTGCCAAAGAACCGACCATGCTGAAAAAGATTGTTAGCTTAACGATAAGCCTCTTTTTCACTATTATATTTGCAATAAAAATGACCACAATAAAAAGTATTGCAAATAAAGAAAAACCAACCTAAACAATCACTAGAAAAACAGGAAAAGTTGATTGAAGAAAACAATGATGATGAAGATGAGTATTTATTTATGGCATTTCAAGAATTCAACTCACATGAATTAAATCCTTACTTATTGACAATAGTTGCACTAGTCACTTGACTAAATATTTATCATTTTTCACCTCCATTGATAGATCAACCAAGAAATTGTGAAACCCTAAACCAAGAAATCGAATTGAAAGTTAAGATGGAAAATGGTGAAATTGTGTAAGCCATTAGAAAAGGAACTGTTTCTATATCAACCAAGAAAGGTATCATAATTGTGAAAGATAAAAATCTTCTTAGTGTTCCACAAATGCTAATGAAAGGATATGAAGTCTCTTTTAAAGAGAATTATTGTTTTATCAAGGATGAACATGGTTTAGAAATTACAAATATTGAGATAATCAAAAACAATTTTTATTTAAAAATTGATCTAGTTGAACATAATGATTTTATTACTAAAATTGATGAAAGTTATGTTTGTACGGAAGTTTGGTCACACTTTTATGCGAAATGTATTTGATATGACAAATCCCAACAATTGGTATTTAAAGACAGGAGAAGGAATTAAATTGA